TTGACAGAACTGGAAGCCACAAACAAGTTTAAGAACTTTGAGGTTGAATTCAAGTTTACGCTAGCATCGCCATTACCCCCAAGAACGGACTTGGCGCTGAAAAAGGATGAAGAGATTGAACAGATTGATTTGATATACCCAAATGGATTGCTACTAGTGGAGGGTGTATAGACAAACGAGCTTTAGTACATCTATTCAACATTTATATAGCCTATAGAGTGATATGCAGTCACACTGTTGTCATCAGTTACTTTGTTTTTATCACTCTCAATACTCCTCCTATCACTTAATGTAGTAAAACCTAAAGTTGAAAATACAACTAGAGAGCATCGCAACGCTGAACTTGTTGTATCATCGGTGCTCTAATTCAATTCCGTAGTTCTAAGAGTCCAAAAAAAAAGGCGAGTTTCAATAGATTACTACCATCAAAATGGGCCAAGCCTTCATTAGATGGTCCACCTGGTATAATATTTAATTTGTGGAGGTTCAATATCCCGATCATGTTCTTGGATTGGCAAACAGGCGCCTTCACGGGAAATGTCCTTTTCTTAACCCCACATAACCATCAGGTGCAGTGGACGCATCCTTCCAAATTGCTGGCAATTTACCTCCTTCTATCCCTTGCTCGCTGACAGTATTACCCCACCATTTTATTTCTCGTGAATTATACTGTACCGTGAAAAATATTAGCAAAGAACTGAAAGCAACACCGGCCGACAATGCACTCGTTAGAATATAATTATACTTTTCCCACCACAATAAATAGTTCTTCTTAATCCAGTACATGAAGATATAAGAGACGTACAATCCACCAGTAAAGTACAGGAGATTATACGGTGCAAAATCCAAGAAACCTCCAATCAACACACTGGGCTGGAAATATCTTGCTACTCTTGCCGGTCCTCTGTTTTTAAACCAAACACAGGGAAACACTAGTAGCACTCCCAACAAGAAGCACCACTTGAGGACTGGGTATAATCCTGAAAATACTTTTTGTGGACCTATTTCACCGTATTGAATACTCGAGTAAAAGTATGTATTTGCTCCTGGACAGCTCAATTTGTCCTTCTGGTGCACATCACAAATGTCTGATATGTTCCCTAGTTGCCAGTTGGCAACTACTAACGATACAATAATATTGATCAATGTAGATACTAGCTGACCCTTGAATATCGCCTTTGGAGGAATTTTGGCATAGTGCGCAAGTTTTTGGTCCGTAATATAATTGCTAGCTTGACTGTCAATATTGTATCCAAATGCCTTGAGTGTGATCAAGGCTATCCCTGAATTTGGAATAGAATACCCCACAATCAACTCAACCAAGACATTGAGGCCGAACGAAAATCCCGTGGTTGAAGCTATAGATGTCAAAGGGATCAAAAATATGAAATTTATCAATATGGTGAAAAAGATACCCCACACCGGTGTTTCAGTTGGATAAAATACAACAGCCGCGACGGCAAACAGCGTGCTGACAATAATAATTGCAATAAACCACCAATCTGGTACATCATCATACATTGACATCATTTTGCAATGGGGATCTTCAGAGTATCCTCCATAAGGGCTGTCACTGTGTTTAGACTTGAATGCATCACTAAGTGACATCCACACGTTGACAAAACTCGACTTCATTGAATCCCACTCAGTAATGAACTGGTACAATATTGCAAATGGATAAAGACAAAAGTTGGCCCCGTAAAGAACCAAGTTGGCCGCAGAAAAATAAGGCGGTCCTATTTCTTGATACTTTGAGTCGCTGAACTGGTTTTTCTCATTTAAAATCAGGTGCACGTCGTATATTTCTGCCTTGTTGCTGAATAATTTGTTGGAATTGATAGGAAAATACGCTGTGAAGTAATTGTTGGTGTAATAGACAACCATAATCACAAAAAACCCGAGTAAGCTTCCTATGTACCTGTTGACATAAGTGTAAAAGGGGATAGTCAAACAGCCGCCAGCATCCAAAATATTCCAGTCAAAAGTTGGCCACAAGTTAAGCCCCAAGCCAGCGGAAGTACCTGTTATATTTACCAAATGTATCAGTGACGGGCTAAACCAAGTTGGCCAGTTGAAATTTGACAACGCTTTGAATAAATAATTCGGTATCCAATTGTAAACAAAACTCATGGAACCGACTAAGATGAAAAACCCATATCTGGAGATTCGCCAGCCATGAACTTTATTATTAGCATCCTCATGCATCAACGCTCGATTAAGAGCAATTGTAGGTAGTATTGTGGGCCAAAGGGCCTTGCTCGGATAAACACAAACCTTTTTCATGATCATAGCAAATCCAAAGCCTAGAAACTGAGTGGAAACAGTCAATAGTATCTGGAAAGTAATCGTCACCCACTTCAAGCCATAAAATTTATCTAGTTTCATGACAAATATGTTATAGATCAGGTACGGAACACCGGCCGAACACAGATAAATAATGGAGCTCAACATCATTTCCTTGTAAGTCCAGGGGCCAGGGTTAAGATCAAATGAAAAACTACCAAGTGAGATCCGTTTTTCGGGTACGAGTTTTTCCCATAGTTTTCCACAAGGGAGAAGCAATATTTGTATTGTATGCGAGCTCAATGATATATTGGGCATTCTGTGAACAAAAAAACTGTTGATTATTGACCCCACAAAGGTCCAAAAGAAGCCAATAAAATAACACCGAAATGTTTCCACAAGGATCTCTGTGTCGTCTATCGGGTCTGAAATAGCTCTGATTTCTGGATACGGCGAATGGTAGTGAATTAAGGCAGCCTCAAGTCGTGCTTGTAATGACCAATCGAATATATGCAAGTATGTCTTGTTCTTATTGTGACTATGTGAAATATCCTCATCTGTGATTATGTCTGTTTTACCTATTTCTTCATCCTGTGGAATCGAATGCACAAGTCTTTCTAACAAATGGTAATCTTCCTGCAAAAAATTCACGTCATTCTTGTGCTCAACTAAAGCATTCCGTAGTATTTCTACTGCTTCTGATATATCCATTTTATCAACTATGCCAATGATGTATTCCGTTCCTTTCGGTAAAGCAAACAGGGGAAACTTGCCACTCTCGTAAACTTCGTCGCTGATTACGCCTAGGCGCAAAAGTACGAAAAGTAGTTGTGACTTTGAGAGCGACCATATTTTCAGCCCAGACGCACTTGTGGTATCAGAACCATGTAATTCTTGAAGCTCTATATACTCTTGGTTTCTCATGTTTTTAGATGACAATTTTCAATCAACACAAATCTGTTGACACCATAAATTATTTTTTGTTTTTAATTTATTTTTCCGTTTGTCGGTTTTGTGTCGCGTAGCGAACTGTGTGGGGAAGGGCAACTATCTTCCACAACAAAGCTATTTCCTTGCTTTTTTAGCGACCTTACTACTAGACAAGGCCCAGCGTAGAACAATTTTGATGGAATTGTATATTGCTTAGTTTAATTGCAAACCTGGTTGTGTATTATGTTTTTCGACGTTTTGCTTTACTCCTTTGATCATTTTTACAGTTTGTATGGGTTTTGTTCTTTTCGTATGTTGCCAAAATGTCTTCTACATTGATTGCACCATTGCCGTTTTTGCAACTGCAAATTGTTTCTTTACCAAAAGCATACTCTTCAACAAAGTAATTATCGGCTGGTTCCTCATCAAGATCGAGTCCACGCTTGGTGTTGTCCGCATCTTCAATGGCTTTGATAACCATCTCGTTTTCTTTCTCGACATCTGGTATCATAGATTCCAAGGTCTGATTCACTTGGCCAACAAATCTAATTTTGCTAATGGGGAGCTTTTCCCATTGCTTTAAAACTTTAATCAAAAAAGTGAAAACCCCATTGATTATTTTGCCACATGCTAGTAATTTCTCGGCACTGGGCTCTTCTTCGGAAGCATTGGCTAAATCATCCTCTGTTGAAAACGTAATCAACCCCATTGCAATATAGTATAAGGACATTATTCTAATATAAAGCTTCAATTCCAATTTATTACGGGTTTCCAACCTTTCATCAACTTCTTTGTACAAAAGATGGAAGTGGACCATCTCGTCGTAAAACTTTATCTCTTCTTCAGCTAGTGATTTGTTCTTTTTGTTCAATCGGGCTGCATGTGCAATTTTTTTTGGCATATACACAAAGGTGGGTTCACAATCACTGGGAGCCTGACCCTGCCAGTAAGGTGGAAGAAGTGGTTGGATCTTTTCATCATACAAAACGTCCCATTTGCTCCTTTTGACATCCTGTGATTGTGGAAACACGCTATAGATATTATTGACCGACGCATAAATGAGGTTCTCTTGGCCAAACACCTCCCAGTGTTGAGTTGGATGGGTTACATCTCTTATATGAAACGAACTTGTGTTCATCTTCGTGGTAATGGCAATTTCTTCCGAAGCCAATTTCGGAGATCCCTTTAGGGCATGTAAAGTACGTTTTTCTAAGGAAGGCAAAACTGGCTCTACTGTATTGGAGTTTGCCGCCTTTGATTGGTAACACTCGTCAAAACCATCGTGTTTTTGTAAATACTTGAAATTTCCTGTTCCATTATGTATAGTCCTTTTTTTTAGTTCAGTCGACCTGAAATACTCGACTTTCAAACCATAAGGAATTGCGATCAAGCAATTGTAAATCAATTCCAATTCATTACAACCAGGATACATGGGGAGACCAATCCCTAATCCTTTAACCTGGCTAAATACCATAGTAATAAGCCAATATTGAATGAAGTGGTATATGTAACTAAAGAAAATATGTTAGTGTCAAGCACTCTAACTAAAGTTTTTGCAGCACAAAGGAGATCTTGGGTCTGGCAACAAACTTAATCACACACCTGTTTTGACCTTCACAGTCGAACCATATCTTCATAAATTCTCAAGCATTCTATAGGGGGGGGGTTCTTTAATTTCGTCGATTTGATTCTAACCACTAATACTATGTTGTATAACTCAATATATATGGATGTGTAATTCAGTATATACGGGAGTAGAGTGTGATATGTTGTAGATAGTTTAATTCACTTAACAAGAGCCCAAATTCTTTTTCAAAATATCATATTTCATTTCACTACACTATAAAGGTTTTGGAAATACAGGCATATTTACTACTGTAACTCCCTTGCTCAGTTTTGCAAGGTTTGGGCAATTTCAACCAACTTCTCATCGGTATATCTTAATCCAACAAGGCACAAATTTGCAGGTGCCTTCAGGAATGAGCTTGGACTATCATATATTTCGTAAAAATACTTGTCTAACTCATTGAGTGGTGTGTAGTCTGTAAACGGTTGATCCAAGGATTCATCAACAGTGGTGACAGGAAATACTAAAGCTGGATAGTCCAAAAGGTTCCATTGCGATGTGTATGTCCAATACTTTGTGGTCTCGTGTTTTGCGGCAACGTTGGGGAATACAGGAGCAACGACGGCATCAAGAATGTTGCCTTCAGCATCGGTGTAGTCACGCCAATGCTTCAAAAATTTCTTTCTGTACGCTTGTTTCTCCAAATTCCAGTGCCACTGTTCATGCATATCCAAATCCTCTGCTCCATCAATTGCCCACCTGGTTTGTTCAAGAAGTGGTTCACCTGTTTGCAAGGTAGAGCGGAAATCCCTTGCTCCATCCTCAAAATACAATTTACCTAAGATTTCTGCAACTTTTTCAGGGTGGTATGGTTCAAATTGGACAACTTCAAAGTTCTCTAATCTATCCAATTTATTCTTAATAAGGGACAATGCTCTCTTGATAGGAGGCGAAGGATTAACGATATTGTCGGACCAATAGATACCAACCCTATATTTCTTTTTCTCGGGTTTCTTCCATTCAATGGGAACTAAAGTGGGATCAACTAACCATGGCTTTGCTTCAATGACTGTTTTCATTACCAAGTCCACTGTGCCCAAAGATCTCGATAAAGGTCCTGTCACCGAAAGGATGGATTCAGATCCAATGTTGCAAGAAAAGTAATCCGCAGTAGGAATTCTACCCAATGTCGTTCTCAATCCATAGATTCCATTGAATGCTGCCGGACATCTAATACTACCACCAATGTCACTGCCTAAACCGAAAGGACTTGCTCTCAATCCGTTCAATGTTCCTTCCCCACCTGATGAACCACCTGAAGTAAGTTCACCGTTGTGGGAATTCACTGTACGACCATGGGAAAGCGAAACGCACTCAAGCATCATCAATGACTGTGGATTAGTGGTTCTAACAAAGGGATATGCACCATTCGAAACTAAGATGTTGACAATATCAGCATTGTAATCGACTACCCTATCGAGATAGCATAAGGATCCATGTGTCACCGACCTGCCAACAAACGGAATCATCTCCTTGATTGAAAAGGGCAACCCATATAAAGGAAGGTGCTTTTTGCTTTCGTAGTTTGCATCCAAGTCTTGAGCGTATTGAAGTGCTTCCACGGGTAAGAATTCTTGCACGCAATTGGTAAGCTTGGATGCCACAATGCAGGCCGTTGTATAAGCCTTCAAAACTTCAACACATGTGATCTTTCTGTTTTTGAGGTCCTTCAACAATTCAACAGGATCCTTCTCAGTGATGTCCAATACTTTTTTAGGCAATGTTTGCAAGTACTCTTCCAATGGGTATTTAGCTGGCGAGCCAAAGTCTTCAGTGTTTGCACCGATAGCTGATGGTATAGCACTATACTTTTCGGCTAAGCTAGCATCAAAGTCGGCAAGATTGATGGCTTGTTTTAAAGAATTCTGAAATGTTGATTGAGCCTTGACCGCAAGATCTTTATAATTATCAGTGAGCATTGTTGTGTGTAGAGTTCAAAAGTAACTGAAAAAGGCGTAATAGTTGGGAGCCCAGGAAGGAAAATTGTAGGTGTTTTTATAATTGAGATTTGTGGATTCACTGCTAATCTTCTACCCCAACGCCCAAAGTTGTCACCAACCTCCTCCTGAGGTATGTAACGGTTAAGCTGAATAAATAGGAGATAAATTCCGCACAAGAAATTGATTAGAGTTGACTACGAACACAAAGTCAATATCTTTATTAAAGTTCTGTTCTTGCTTACAAAGCTCTTGGTCTTTTTAATAGTGAACTCCTAAACTCTCCAAAATCACGGGGAATATAATTCTTTGTCCACCCCCACAAAGTATTTATTTATAACAACATATTTAAAGTCTGATTACATTTAGTAATCAGAGTCTCCACCTATGCAGATTGTCGGGCTAGTTTTAGCAATGTGCTGATTTTTTTGGCCTTGCACCTGTTGTGGGGATAATCTGCAAGTTTTAGATCCCTCTCAATTCGTGTCAGCAGCACATATTTTAAAGTCTTTTCAATAAAAACCGCCCCTTTGCTTACAATTAAAGACAATAATGGGGAAATCAAACACCCCGTCTCCTGAAATTTTAACCCGCTGGGCTATATTTTAATCAAATTTCTTAGCCCAACCAACTTTAGCTACATTCATAATCCAACGTGAAGCAGCAGAACTGGGTGGTGTGTTAAAAAAAAATCATCATAGCCGTAATCTGCTTCGAAAGCAAACATACACTTGTTAAGGGATTCGGTATTCTTCGCCACACTGGTAGCATCTTCAAGATTGATCACGCTTAGCAGATCACATAACCGAACCAAAAACCATTACCAAAGATGTCAACCAGAAGCAAATAATTACAATAAACAAGTTTATTAAAGAGTCTTTCGTTATTAGTTATTATCGATCAACGTTCACTCTCCAAATCCAAAGATTCTATCAACTCCATTAGTTCCAACTCCTCTTCCCAAGCCCTAGCCTCGGCTTCTTGTATCTCGAAACTGCCCCTCTTGTTTTCATTTAGTATCTCCTGTTCATCTTCAAGTAGCCGATTTATATCCTCACTACCCAAGTATTCGCGTACTTCTTTGTCGTACTTTCTTTCGACATCTTGTTTGCATTGCTTGTCGATGACCTTCTCTCGTCGCAACAGTAACATTTCATACCTATGTTGATTCCTGACCTGGCGTAGTTTAGTGTGCTTATTTCTTGGGTTTATTGTAGAGACCCGCTGGGATGTCTCTTGGTGAGTGATGTGATGGAACTCTGTGGACCTACCTCTGTTATGCGTGGGTGAAGATGAAAGAGGGTCTAGCCTTGCTTTACTTCGACTCTTTTGTGTTTCACTTATTTGGTCAATAATGTTGGACGGGGGAGACGAAAAAAGCTCCATCAGGACGTCAGTGTAGTCGCTCTTTGGACTTCCAGTCATGCCTTTGCAATACAATTTAGTAAATGAGCTTCGCTTCAGCTTTATTTTCAAAAGTTTGTAATTTTTATTATGAAGATGCGCGTCGCGTTCCCAAACAAAACACTATTTATAGTTTGAGCCACCACATGGATATAGACTTCAAGATTGATGGAGATGCTTACAATCAGTACTCTGAGGATAATGTCAATTTGAACGAATCTATTGCCGCCGATGTAATGTTGAATTACATGCATGAAACATTTGAGGTTTCTGGTTATGGTAGATACATACATCAAAGTACGAACTTGCCAAAACTGTTTTTCAAAAGTATTGTTGACGTGATTGAGGAGACGATTGGAGATCTTTACGTTAAGAACAACGGCAATAATTGGAAAAGAGAAAAGAAGATGGAGCTAAAGGAGCCCGGCTTAATATTTGTATTGTTCACAGACCCTAAAACGAGTAAGGTGGTGGCATTTATATGTTTCAAATTGTGTCTTGAAGACGAAAACAATTTGGTGTTATATTTATACGAAATACATGTAACTAGTGACCATCAAGGCCAAGGGCTCGGACAATATTTGATAGACCAGTTTCATAAGCTCTGTGTTGACTTGTCGAACTCCTCCAATCTATTATACCGGCAGCTATCGGGTACTGCGTTGACAGTCTTCTCAGACAACGAAAGAGCATTGTCGTGGTACAGCAATATGGGCTACAAATTAACGGATGATTCTCCGAGTGACAAATTATTGAGAAATGGAAAGGTTAGAAAGCCAGATTACTATTTACTAAAACGTGTATGTACTACCTAATTACACCTTTCTTTACAAACAATTCCCCTGTCTCTAATTCCGCTTCACTAAATAGGGGTTGGAAAGTACTATTATTGGCTATGTCCACCTAGTTAGTTCATATGAGGAGCTTGTATTAGCCTTATATTTGTAATGATTGGTTCTATGTTGAAGTCAATTTAAAGTTTTGTCGCAAAAGCGCTATAACTTGCGCACGTGGTTAACTGCTAAATTGAAAATATAACAAAGTATGAAAAGCTTAAAGCTTACAATGGTAATCATTTAGTCAATAATGACAAGATATTGGGACTACTACACATGGGGGTGGTCATCTTGAAACCAATTACACAAATTGGATGAAATTGTGTTCTTGAATTTGTATGAAGACTTCATTAGAGGGCTAATTAACACTAAAATGCAAATCAAATTAAATTAACCGACCACGTTGGGATATTGCATATTGTTCACCCAGTAAAAAAGTGACATCTCATTGTTTGTCGTAGGTATCTTATTGGCTGACAATGGAACGGCATCAGACGAATATAAATTAGACGTAGTTTCCCTCTTTCTTTTTCTACAAGCTGCACTCAAATCTTTTTGACAGCCAACCTATTGGAGAAAGAAAAAAAAAAATGCTAGCTTCCTTGATTGCTCCAGCTCTTGTGCTTCAAACTGTTGCAGCAACGCCTTATTCCGCGCCCTATTTTGGAAAATACTTCCACGGTCAGAGAACTTCTGGTGATTCTTCATCCGATGGTAATGATTACCCTGTTCAAGATTGTTCAAACTTTATTGCCAACACGGCCGATCCCTGGTCTTGCCATAACACTTCTGTTATACCAGCCGAGGACCAATGCTGCTTCGAGGACTATGGTATATTATTACAAACCCAGTTTTGGGACTTCAACACAACTTTGTTGGACTTGGCTGTGAATGGTTCAACTCAGGAAGTGGTTGAAGCTGAAGTTAGAAGTAAGATTGAGGCGCTCGATGATGACATCAAGAGGACATTCACTATCCATGGGTTGTGGAATGATTTGTGCAACGGCTCATACAACCAATACTGTAACCCGGACTGGGAAGTTGACGATTCCAAGGACAACCTTACCTACCTTATTGGCGAAGAGTTTAAACAACCCGAACTCTTGAAGATAATGAAGAGATATTGGGTCAATACAGAGAAATCCAATGTGGAGGATCAAGCAAGCATCGCCTTATGGGAGCATGAGTATAACAAGCATGGGACATGCATGAATACCCTAAGCCCATCCTGTTTCACCAATTACACCGAATTTGAGAATACAGTTAATTTCTATAAAAAAACAGTTGAAATATGGAGCCAATTAGACACCTATCAGTTTCTAGCCAATGCCGGTATTT